GTAATGGATTCGACTGGAATTCGAACTCTCCTCGTTTTGTGTATAAACTTGTGCACAAAGTACTGTTTTAAATGAGCAATTATCTTGGGGCCAGGAATGAATTAATTAATTTTACATTGATTCCTATTGAAAAAATAGTTTCGGTTTACGAACATTTCAGGTTACGAACGGGCTTCAGGAACGAATTAGAAGCGGGGTCCCACTGTATTTTTGAACAGTTGATCAGTCAAGCGCATTTAAACGAAATTTTGAGTAGATATTTACAAAGACGTTCTTAGTCTGGTACAAGGTCAAGATTTTTTGTGCGAATAACAATCATCAGAGAGATAATTTAATACTATATGAATTTACCTAACTCTGTACCTCCCTGAAGTGAAACAAAATCATCATGCACATTGACAAGGAATATAAAATGTACGCAATGATGTGTCACGATGTTTGCAGACTGACATAGTTAATCACAAAATTTCAGTGTAATTAAGTGCATTGACAAGAAAGAGATATCAGGGAAATGAGTCAGATTCGCTACCCCATCGTCACCGAGCTCATTGGTATGACGTTTGCCTGATAACGTAACTGTCTGGTTTCGGTTCTCGCTAGTGGATAAGCACTCCTGATGAGTCCCAAATATAGGATTTCCAATCGACTGCTTCATAGAAAATACCCAAAACTCCACCGAATTTCAAATTAATTTCTTCGTAGATTGTTTTTAACATTTAGATATTTATCAAACCTTAACCTCCAAAATATGCACGTTAAAGTAACGCGAACTGACAGCGTCTAAGAATTTGAATGAAACCTGTCGTATAATTTATTGGGGTTGTTGTAACGTCTTCCTTTAATGTAGTCCTTATCGCTCACCCCTTAACCACCTTTATCTAGAGACGAGACGCGTTAGATTTGAGCAACATCCAGCCGACACACTGGGGTTAAAATAGGAAACTAAAATGATACATATGACACACTCATATCCTCTCTCCCACCTCACTTCCTCACTTCGTTAACTTTGCGTATACTTGATGAGGTCCGTAAAAAACGTGTGAATTTCTTTTCATTTTTCATTTCAGCTTTTGGAAGTAAAGTCTGATGATCCAGAACCCTGTTAAAGGGGTTATGGTGAAATAGCTTATTACATGGAATCTTAACGTGGTCTGTCTTTTATTCAAACATATCTGCTATGAATTTTACATTGAGCTCTCTGGATATCATCCTCCTCAGGTCTACCCATACGGATTACCTAAATTTGCATAAACTATATATATATATATATATATATATATATATATATATATATATATATATAGGTTTCAGAATATATATGTATATACACACACATATGATGCGCCCATTTATAACGATAAACTCCATTATTTTAAAATATGACGGTAAACTCCATCCTACATATGCATTTCTGAAATAGATTACAAAAATAAAATGAAAACCATAATTTTGTTCCATAACCCTGATCCGTGGTGGCAACACATGTTTGGATCCCATCTATATATAAAAATTAGTTAACCCCCAATCTGGGGTCAAAACTCTATGAATGTGTAAAAATAATAGCAATGCATTTCTGAAAATATTATTACCAGCAATACATTTAAAAAATAATTTTGCCACCAAAACCTTTCTTGAAAAAATAAAATTATTACCAGCAAAATCAGCTTTTTTTTTTTAAAAAAAAAAATATATATGTCAATATATTTTTGAAAAAAATATATATATAAAAATTAAATCTTGTCGGCATTAAAGAATATCCACATTGATGGTGTAAATATACATATAAAAAAAAAACTAAATCATATTCTCGACAAAAACCATCTTTTAAAAAAATACGTCAATGAAACCTGATCTACAAACTGATTTCTTATAAACAATACATATTCTATTCATATAAACCTAACCTAAAAAATCTTGTCGGTATTAAATAACCCATTGAGGTGTTGATATATTATTGTAAAAAGAAAAAAAAAATTCAGACTCTCTAAAAATTTTCTTTAAAAAAATACTGAAACCTGATCTATAATTTAAATTTCTTATAAACAATACATATTCTATTCATACGAACCTATTCTAAAAATCTTGTCGGCATTAAATAACCCATTGATGTGCTGATACAATAATAAAAAACAAAATAAACCAAACCATTTCTCTAAAAAAAACCCTCTTTTAAAAATACGTCAATGAAACCTGATCTACAAACAGATTTCTTATAAAAATATATATTCTATTCATTTTTAGGAACCTATCCTAAAAACCTTTGTCGGTATTAAATCATTATTGAGGTGTTGATATGTCGTAAAACAAACCAAAAAAAAAACCATACACATCCATCAGAATTTATATGTATATTCTTGAATTTGCTAAGATGATTTCCATGCAGCTATCTATCTATTTATCTATATAGTAGTCTATATATATATATATATATATATATATATATATATATATATATATATATATATATATATATATGAATATTTATATATACAAATAAATGATAAAAAATATTCAAATATCATATTTTTTTTATTTTTAAAATTTAACCAAAAGCCTGATCTGAAAAAAAAAAGAACCACAGAACTTTTTTTTTTTCTTGTTTTTTATCAGTATCCTATTTAACCATGAATTAAAGAATTCGCCATTCGAATCAACTAACAGATAAAGTTCTTTAGTTAACTGTATTATCAAGTACGTTTAAAATCCCCTTAAATCCAAGAGCCGATCGCCATGTACCAATCGTTAATCCTAAGGTGACATAGAAGTCTGAAGATAATCTGAAATATCGTTTAAGACCAGAAACTGAAGTCAAAATCTTTTTGTAATAAAATTGAATTTTTAAATTGTTCAAGTCAATAAAGAGAAATTTTTAAAAGAATTTCTATTTTTTTTGACCTTTAAAACTAATTGACACATAAATGATAATTGTTAATAATAATATAATAAAAAAAAAAAGATTTGGAGAAAAAAAAAAAAAATGAAAATAAAAATGAAAAATGGAAAAAAAAAACAAAAGAAAAAAAACCAGTTAAAACGTGAAGGAAGATAGACTTTCGAGATGAAAGTAAAGAAACAAAGCGAGATAAAAAATAACGAAAAGTTTTAAGAAAAAAAAGGAAAAGAATCATTGTAATGAAAAATGAAGAAAAGAGAAGATGGGAAAAAAAATGAAAAAAGAAGGAAAAAAGAAACAAGGTTGATAAAAAATGAAAAAATTTTAAAGGCGGGATAAAGGATGAGAAGAAAGTTAAAAAAAAATGAAGAAAGAGATGGAAGAGAAGAAGGCGGGATAAAAATAAAGAAAGAGAGAAGAAGAAGGCCTGATGAGAATGAAGAAGAAGAGAAAAAAAAGGGAAGAATAAGTTGTGATAAAAATGAAAAAAGAAAGAAGACGTTATGAAAATGAAGATAAAACTATAAAGAAAATGAAAAAGGCAAAATAAAAAAGGAAAGAAGAAGAAGAATAATATATCTTGAAAAAGAATGAGAATAAAGAATCTCGAGAAAAAAAAAAAAAAAAAAAAAAAAGAAAAATTCTAAAATAAGAATAAGAAGAAGAAGAATAAGACGGTGAAGATAAAAATGAAGAAAAAAAAGAATCGACGAAAAAACAAAAAAACTTGAAGGAAGGTAAAAAAGAGAAGAGATGAAATTAAAAAGAAAGAAAAAAAAGAAAAAGAAGACTAAAGGAAAATGAAAAAAGAGATAAAAAATGAAGAAAAAAAAGAAAAAAAAAGAAGAAAAAGATTTGATGAAAATGAAGAAAGAAGAAAAAAAAATGAAGAAAAAAAGAAAAAAAAAAAGAAAAAGAAAAAAATAAAAAAAAAAAAAAGAGATAAAAATGAAATTTGAAGATGAATTAAAAGAAAGAAGAAAAAAGAAAAAATAAAAGAAAAAGAGATAAAAAAAGAAAAATTTTAAAAAAGAAAAGAAGGATGAGGAAAAAATGAAAGAGATAAAAAATTGAAGAAAAAAGAAGAAAAAAAAAAGAACCTTTTTTTGAAAAAATGAAAAAAAGAGATAAAAATGAAGAAAAAGAAGAAGAAAAAGAAGAAGAAGACTTGAGGAAAATGAAGAAAGAGAGATAAAAATGAAGAAAAAGAAGAAGAAAAAAAAGTTTAATTGAGGAAAATAAAAAGAGAAAAAAATAGAAAAAAAAGATTAAAAAAAAAAGAAAAAAAAAGAAGGAAAATGAAGAAAGAGAGATAAAAATGAAGAAAAAGAAGAAAAAAAAGAAAAGAAGTTGAAGAGGAAAAAATGAAAAAAAAGAAAAAAATGAAAAAGAAGAAGAAAAGAAAGAAGATTGGGAATTTTTTCAAAAAATGAAGAAAAAAATGAGGAAAAAGAAGATGAAAAAAAAAAAATTTGAAGAAAAAAAAATTAAAAGAAAAAAAGAAAAAAAAAGAAAAGAAAAGAAGACTTTTAAAATGAAAAAAAAGAAAAATTTAAAAAAAAGAAAAATGAAAAAAAAAAAAAAAAAATTCGTAAAGAAAAAGAAAAAAAAAATTAAAGAATAGAAAAGAAAAGAAAGAAAAAATGAAAAAAAGAAGGCTTGAAAAAAAAAAAAAGAAAGAAATAAAAAAAAAATGTTTTAAAAAGAAAAGATTTTATTTTCATTAAAATTTATAAAAAAGAAAAAAAAAGAAAAGAAAAAAAATAAAAAAAAGAAGAAAAAAAGAAAAGAAAATGAAGAAAAAAAGAAATAAAAAAATAGAAAAAAAAAAGAATAAGAAGAAGGAAAAAAAAAAGAAAAAAAAAAAAAAAAAAAATGAAATAAAAGAAAAGAAGAAACAAAAATATAGAAAAAAAAAAAAGATAAAAAAATAAAGAAAGAGAAAAAAAAAAAAAAAAAAAAAAAAAAAAGAAGAAATGAAAAAATGAAAAAGAAGAAAAAATGAAGAAAAAAAAAAAAATGAAAAAGAAAGAAAATGAAGAAAATAAAAAAAGAAAAGAAAGAAAGAAAAAAAAATAAAAAAAAAAGAAGAAAATTTTGATGAAACTGAAGAAAGAGAAAAAAATGAAAAAAAAAAAAAAAAAAAGAAAGAAAAAGAAGAAAAAAAAAAAAAAAGAAAAAAAAAAGAAGAAAGAATGAAGGGAAAAAAAAAAAAAAAAAAATAAAGAAAAAAAAAAAAAAGAAAGAAAAAAAAAAAAGAAAAAAGAAGAAAGAAAGAGAGAAAAAAAATGAAAAGAAAAAAAGAGAGATAAAAAAGAAAAAGAAGAGAAGGAAGAAACAAGAAAAAAAAAAAAAAAGAAAAAAAAAGAAAAAAGAAGAAAAAAATGAAGAAAAAAAGATAAAAAAAAAGAAAAAAGAAGAAAAGGAAGAAAAGAAAAAAGAAAAAAAGAAAAAAGAAAAAAAAGAAAAGAAAGAAAAAAATGAAGAAAAGAGAAAAAAAAGAAAAAAGAAAAAAAATGAAGAAGAAGGAAAAAGAAAGAAAAAAAAAAAGAAAAAAAAAAAAGGTTTGATGAAAATGAAGAAAAGAAAAAAAAAATGAAGAAAAAGAAGAAAATGAAGAAGGCGAGATAAAAATAAAAAAAAAAAGAAGAAAAAGAAGAAGGCTTGAGGAAAATGAAGAAAGAGAGATAAAAATGAAGAAAAAGAAGAAAAGGAAGAAGGCGAGATAAAATTAAAAAAAGAAGAAGAAAAAGAAAAAAAAAAAAGAAAGAAAAGAAAAAGAAAAAAAGACGAAAAGAAGGCTTGAGAAAAAATAAATAAAAAGAAAAAGAAAAGATAAAAATGAAGAGAAAAAAAGAAAAAAAAGAGGAAAACGAAGAAGGCGAGATAAAAATAAAGAAAGAAGAAAATTAAGAAGAAGGCTTGATAAAAATGAAGGAGAGAAGAAGAATTCGAGATAAAAATGAAGAAAAAGATGAAAATGAAGAAGTCGTGACAGAAATAATTAAGGAGGGAAAAAGAATGCGAGATAAAAATGAAGAGAAAAAAAAGATAATGAAGGTGTGATAAAAAAGAAGATGGAAAGAAAGAAGGTGAGATGAACACGAAAAAAAGATGATGATGATGATGATGATGATCATCATCATCCTAATGATGGCGAAGGAGAAAGAGTATGAAATGTGGATAAAAAAGAAAGTTTTTTTTGTTTTTTTTTTTTTAAATTAGCAGCCGAAGATGAAGAAAAAGTGAATGAAGCTGATAAAAAAGGAGGAAGAAGCTGAAAAGAACGAGAAGAAAAATGAACGAAGCGGACGAAGAAGAGTAAAGGGGGAGATATTTTTAAAATAAGAAAAATAAGAAAAAAGACAACATTAAAAAAAAAAAAAAAGAAAGAGGAAAATGAAATCCAATCATTATTATTAGTAGTTGTTGTATGAGATGAATTGGTACTAGAACTTGCTGTAGTTATCACGTCACTAATTGTATATTGTCGTGTTTCTTACACTAAACCGGATGTTGATTGCTCGACCACCTAAGGCAGAATGCGAACACGCGTCTCTGCGCATCATGGCCCGATGCATGCTTTCAGTATTAAACGATAAAATGAACTTTACATATTGACCAGTAGAAATAACTCCCGCTAAAAGACACAGACTGTGATTTGGAGCTGATACGACAGATATAAATTCCTTGATTCAACGCCGGAGAAAACAGAGGAAATGTCGGCTGAGATGTCGACACGCAGAGGTTGGTCAAAAGAACGCCGCAGGCAGGCTGAGACTGAACCCCATACTTTCCATCCTTCGCCTCCGCCGTCTTCAAATTTTCAGCTCGACGCCATGACCAACATTTTTTTTCTTCACAAAAACATCAACGAGTTACTACGAACAACAATAGCGAAAAAGATGGCCAACATTCATTCTTTCTTTCTTTCTTAAATATACACGATAACTCTGAAGATGGAATTTATATTAAAAAAGCACTTATTTACTACGAACACGTTTGCTGAGGCGAAGCGAAAAAGATTCAGCAGAAAGCCTTGCCAGGTTACTCATTCTACGTTTCCGCAACAAGTGGTGAACCTGACTTTTCGAGCTATGGCAACTTCTTCAGAAAATACGTGGAAACTGCAGCAACATAATGAGTTCACACGAAGATATTTTGGAACCACCTTCGGCGATTAATTTCTCAGTCCTCCACCTACCGTCATATAATTGGTTCCTCTAACTCCAGGGCATTTTCGCTGCCAGAGTGATACGATCGCAGAAAATAAAATTTGCCAGTGTTGTCCAAACCTTGCCTCCTGACGTTGTCAACGAAGTTGCCGGCCTACTGGAAGATGTTCCTGACACCGACCCTTACGACGTCCTTAGAGCCGATACGATGGATAAAAGTTCCTTGATTCAACACCGCAGAAGACAGAGGGAAAGAGACCCGGCTGAGATGTCGACACGCAGAGTTTGGTCAAGAACGCCGCAGGCAGGCTGAGACTGAACGCGATAATTTCGAATAATTCATATTTCGCCGCCGACGCATTCTTTCTCTTTCTTTCTTCCTTTCCCAAAACCTCTTCAGCAGAAACAACAACAGCGAAAAGATTTGCCTTCCAGGTTACTCATTCTTCGTTTCCGCAAAAACAATGCAATAAAACTAGGTACCGTATATATTCACGATAACTGCTCCGAAGAGCTACTTTCGCTAGTTCCCAATCTGCATGAAATTAAACGGCATCTCAATCCCGCCCTTTCCCTGTCGAAACGGTTCCTCAATATAGTCATCTCTTCTACTCCAATAGCTTAATGTCTCGCACATCCCGTCTGTGGAACTCCCTTCATCTTATTTGCTTTCCAGACAGCTATAATCTCCAATTATTCAAATGCAATGTCAATTGACATTTCCAGATGCGTTGATCTATTCCCCGACCTTCTCTTCATTCTTTCCTCTATTATGCCTTTTTATTCTTGCTTCCACTCTCTATAAACCCTTGCGTACTAGTGGCACCCCCGCCTTGCTTGGGGGTGAAAAGCTTAAAAAAATAATAATAATAATGTTCGTGGACAGCGTGATCAAAATCAATCTAATTGACGGTAACTTGCATTGTAGTAGTGATGATGGTACTAGACCTGCCATTATTATTATTAAATAAAGAGGGGAACGGAGAAAGACTGTACTCTCATCGTAGTAGTGGTCATGGTGTTAGACCAGCCATTATTATTATTATTATTATTAAGTAAAGGGATCAAAGGAGAAAGACTGTACTCTCATCGTAGTAGTGGTGATGGTGTTAGACCAGCCATTATTATTATTATTATTATTATTATTAAGTAAAGGGATCAAAGGAGAAAGACTGTACTCTCATCGTAGTAATGGTGATATCGTTAGACGTGCCATTATTATTATTATTAAGTAAAGAGAAGAAAGAAGAAGGACTACTCTCATCAAAGTAGTGGTGATGATATTAGACCAGCCATTATCATTATTATTATTATTATTATTAAGTAAAGAGAGGAAAGGAGAAAGACTGTACTCTCATCGTAGTAGTGGTGATGGTATAATCCTGCCATTATTATTATTATTATTATTATTATTATTAAGTAAAGAGAGGAAAGAAGAAAGACTGTCCTTTCACTGTAGTAGTGGTGATGGTATTAGACCTGCTATTATTATTATTATTATTAATGATAATAATAATTAAATAATAAAATTGGAGAAAAGAAAGTCTACTGCGATCACAGTAGTAGTTGTGGGGTCAGACCCGCCAATTATTTGTTTTTATTTTCGTATAAATATTAGTTAGCTAGTAGTAATTGGTAAAAGAGGATGAAGAACAGAAAATAAATTGAGAAAAGCGAATATCCATGTTGTTTATCTTCTCTTTTTTACTTCTTAGAATTAAAGAAAAAGTCGATAGTTTAAGAAGATCGTTGGTATTGTTTTGTTGTCATTTCTTTTAATCTTACATTAATATTGCAATCACCACGAATGCTGCTGCTGTTGTTGCGTTCTTGCTCGTCCGCGCATGCGTGCAAAATTTCACTTCCGATGGCGAACTTAAAAGAGGAGAAAATTCTTGACGCATCAGAACGTAGCAATGCGTGGGTGATGTAGCAGATACTAGTCAAAGAGTATCATAGTATCAGCAGCTGGGGGTGAGGAGAGAAAGGGTGTAGGCGTTAAAAAAGATCTGTGGTCGGAGGTAGGATTGGAGTGGGAGTGGATATCTGGGGGTCTTCTAAGTGCTTTTTTCTGCTTCACTTGTTTGTCAATTTTCATGTGAAAGAAATCTTTCTCATGGGTCTTCTTATCTGGTTATGCCGCACTTTTGAAGGCCTCTGGGGCAGTCACCTATGGGTGCCCGAGGTTTTGTTAATCAGCTATTAGAAAGTCATTTTTTAATAGCTCTATGAGAGTCTTTTTAAAAAATGATTACTGAAAGTGAAGCCATTTTGTTTCGTGGCGCGAAAAATGGCGTTTGGAATGATGAAAAGATAGAAAAGTGAAGAACACTTTTTTTTAATGGTTAAAATTTAAACAATTTTTTTTAAATGCTTTCTTTTTTAATTTTTAATCTTTTAGAAATTTTTTTTCAGAATTTGCCTAAAATATTTTATTGAGATTTTGTCATTTTTATCGATTTCTTTCTTTTTTACTTTTCTTTTCTGATTTTATTCTTTCTTTCTTTCTTTTTTTTTTCTTTCTTTCTTTCTTTCTTTCTTTTCTTTTTTCTTTCTTTCTTTCTTTCCTTCTTTTCCTTTCTGTCTTTTTTAAAATCTTCTCTTGCAACGTCATCATTACAAAATTCTTCCACGTAAAATTGTCGATTTACTTAAAGTAAATTCTAAAACAAATATCCTCCTAAAACATCTTGTTCATCTTCTTCTTTATGTGCTATAATCCTCAGGTCGTAGCTGATCATGGCGCTCCACACTTCCTGTCCATTGTAGCTCTTAATAAACTTTCCGTCCTGGATATGACGATAAACTACATCCGCGTCCTGGGTAAGAGGATAGACTACGTTCAAAACCAGATCTCTGTTCAAAAGGTTTTTGAGGAGCGTGGAACCACCTCTTAATTGCTGGTGTCCCCAGGTCCACCCTGACCCGGGATGGTAGAACCTGTTATCGTCCCAGCTATGGGCAAATAGTTAACTCCCAAACCCGTCCGTGTCCTGGGTAAGATGATAAAGTACATCTGACAGCAAGGCCTCTGGTTATGAGGTTTTGAGAAGCGCGGATCCACCTTTTAATTGCTGGTGTTCCCAGGTCCACTCTGACCCGGGGTGGTAGCACCTATTAGGGTCCCAACTATAGGCAAATAGTTAACTCCCAAACTGGGTAAAAACACTGTGAAAGATTAAAAATAGGTTTTAATACCAGCAATTAATTTTTTAGGAAAAATTATTACCAGGAATTATTTAAAGGAAAAAATATTATCAGCAACACATTTTTGAAGGAAAAAAATATTACCAGCAATACATTTTTGTAAATAATTATTAACAGCAATACATTTTTTTGGAAAAATATATTGCCAGCAATAAAAATGTTGTCGACATTAAATAATCGATAGAGGTTGATATACCGTAAAACAAAACGAAGCTCGCCTCCCCAGGATAATAACCACAATAAATTAACATTCTGGAAAACTGACTGTATTACTATTCGAACTTTGATCTCCTGGTCGGAAAGCAGAGGTTCTAAACACCTGGCCACACTTATGCTCTACTCTGATACTTAGTGAGTCTCTATGCGGATAACACAACAGTTTACAGGTGCATCTCCCTAAATCTGGAAGACCAAAACCTTGTATCTGATCTCCCCACTGACCTGGCCTAGTTTGCTCAATGGGGGTAGGACTGGCTTCTAAAATTCCAACGCCAAATCCAGCTCCCTTTCATAGTTGACCATGTCTTCAGGGAAGAAGCCGTATTCAACATGCTTGGGCAATAGAGGGTTGGTGAGGCTATTTAATCCATAGCTGGGGTGTAAAATTAAATACAGTGAAAACCAAAAGGTAAATTTGCAGATAATGCCTCAGCGACAAATTTAAAAAAAAACATGTCTTTCCTGGTGTAAAATCGCCTGATTATTCCAAAAAATAGCATTGAAAAATAGCGGAAATCTAGGAGATATTCACAATCTTAGTTGGGTCATTGCCATCCTACCAGGAATAAAGTTTTTTTTTTTTTAATTGGTCACTGGGGCATTACCTGCGCGTTCTACTAAATATATAAACATTCCCACAGTAATTGAGGGCAAACGGGGCCCAAATAATGCTAACAATATCTCCTAAACGGTAGATTTCCGCCAATATTTAATGCTATTTTTCGAATAATCAGGCGATTTTATACTACGAATGACATTTTTTTTAAATTATTCACTAGTGCATTATCTGCAAATTTACCAAATAAACTAGTAATACTATTTACATTATTATTCGGACTATTGTCCTCATCCATGTCGCTATATTTATTACAACGTTTCAGTCGTTGTACGCTCCGGCATTCTTCAGGTGGTCGGAATGTTTGAACTGAAACCTTTATTTCGCTCACTGGGGAAGACTATACTAGTTCCACGTGCCATGTTTAATCAGTTATCTCCTGTTAATTCCCCTCTCCAAGTTCTCAACTGCCTTAACCGGGTATTGAACTCACACTCTTTGGGTCCTGTTACTGGATCTAACCAACGCTTTTATCCACTTTGCCATGTGTACTTGAGGTTAAGACAGTGGATTACTTGGAGAGAGGAATTAACAGGAGATAACTGATAACTGACATCCATTAAACATGGCACGTGGAACTAAAACAGTCTACCCCAGTGAGGCGAAATAAAGGGTTCAATTCGACATTCCAACCAGCTGAAGAAGGTCGAAGCGTACAACGGCCGAAACGTTGTAATAAATATAGCAACAAAGATGAGGACAATAGTCCGAATAATGTAAATAGTGTACATAATACCTCATCTCAGAAATATTGACAGATACTGAAAGGTCGAAACGTTGTGATAAATATGGCAACAAAGATGAGGACAATAGTCCGAATAATGTAAATAATGTACATAATACCTCATCTCAGAAATATAGACAGATACTGAAAGGCCGAAAGGTTGTGATGAATATGGCGACAAAGATGAGGACAATAGTCCGAATAATGTAAATAGTGTACATAATACCTCATCTGAGAAATCTCAGAAATGAAAGTTCGAAAAGTTGTTTTAGATACTGAAGGGGACAAAACGTAAATAGTGTTAATACCTTATCTCAGATAAATATGGCGACAAAATATGGCGAAAGATGAGGACAATAGTCCGAATAATGTAAATAGTGTACATAATAGTAACGTTCTACTAGCAACTCGCAGATACTGAAACCTCACCTATCGTGATGGATGGGTCTTCTCTGCTTACTTTGACAGTCTAGTGGAATTCAAGTTCTGCCTAGAGAACTCATATACACTGCGTGCCAAATTATTATCTTTCTAATATTTCAAAACCGTCCAATCAATTCACACAAACTTTTCACACAATGTTGGCAACACTGAGCTGCGCAATCACTGAAATTTTCGTACTGATCTGTGCAATGTAAACAAACTGGCGCCATATTTGTTATCAGCACGGTGATTTGAGCGTGCCACATTATTAGAAAGGTTTAGTAAAATTCCCAGAATTGAGCAAACAAAACGTTTATTAATGTTGCACGTGAATGTTTATGATCAAAAGAAGCTAATAAATAAGATAATCAAACAAATAATAACAGATACAAACAAAGGCACAGTTTTAAACAAATTAATAGGGAATGTGCTTTCCCTGTTTTGAAATTACTTGAAGAAGATGACGATCCATAGAATTTGTTAATTGTAGGATGTCATCTGCTATAATATCGGGAGATATGTCAAGAATTGCTTCCCACAACTCAGAGTTGCTCCTGAATTGTCGTCCGTTGGCGTACAGTCTTTGTGTGAATTGATTGGACGGTTTTTGAAATATTAGAAAAAGGTTATCTCGATAATAATTTGGCACGCAGTGTAAACGATCTATTGCTAAAGATGATGGAAACATGGTCAAGGGGAGCATGTTTTAGTATGTATCTGACTCGCCTTCTGAAAGGCAACTCTTGTCTTGGGCATGACGATTCAAGACACCCGGAAGCAAGGCTTCTGATCAGCAGTCATTAAAGGTTTGGAGGACATCTGGAACTCTCTCTTGGGCCCACTAATTTTCGAGTTCCACCCTGATCAGGGTGTAGTACTGCCTTGTTGGGGTCCAAAACTATGGGCATTCTGTCCGTTCAAAACCCTTAACCATCTAAAAATGAACAAGATTTTTTTAATAAGATGAGCAACAACAATAGATTTAATGTGAACAAAAAATATATATTTAAAAAAAAAACATAATTTTACACTGAAAAAAAATTTACGTACACTATATTTGGCTTTCGGCATTAATTGACCCATAGAGATGTTGATGTGCTCTTAAATAATCAACCAAGTAAAAATCCATATTTATAGTAAAATGACGAAGACATTTCACCTGTAATTGAAGCCATAAAATTGTGTTCAAAATATTTTATTTCGGACATTAAATAACCCATAGAGGTGTTGATATATTTGTTAAATAAACAACTATTATTGTAGGGTATTTATAGTATTTTACTGCAATACATTTTTATCTGTTTTGAAAGGCATGCAATTGCATTCAAAATATATTTATTTGATGCCATAAAATTTTTCAAAATATTTTTTTAAACTGCTTTTGGTAAAAAAATAATTTAATTAAAGAATATTTTTTGGCGTTAAAAAATACGTCAAAAAACGACATTATTACGTCATTATTTTTTGAAAAATTCAAATATTTAGGCATTAAATAACCCATAGATATGCTGTTAAATAAACAACTAAAAAAAAGCCATATTTATAGTTAAAAACTATATTTTATATTTTGTATCATGCAAATTTTTTCAAAATATATTTATTTCGTGCTATAAAACTGTGTTCAAAATATTTAAATGTCAGCATTAATTAACCCACAGAACTAGACGTAAACAAAAAATCAACCCAAAATCAACTAATATACTGTAATTTTACAAGAGCCAGATTAGATCGAAAATGGAGTATTCCCGCCATATTTGATCTGGAGCTGCAGAAGGAATTCAAATGCGTCTACACGGCCTTGTGGGTGATGAATTATTTTCTAACCTACAACCCCCAGACGAAACGTCGATTATTTATATATTAAATCTATATAATTCCATGGCATGTGTTCTGAAGCGCTTCATCCCTTAGATCCATTAGCCCTGAACTCTGCAACTGAGCCACATTGATGTGAATTAGCTATCACCCTTTCAACACTCTACCAGATGACCTGGCTCATAGCCTTAAATAGTCTATGATTAAGGACTTCAACATTTGATTAATAAGCTGCTACTAAGCTAATTAATATTGAGATTGATCTTACTTCGTTTGGCTATACATTTGACCCTCTTTTATTCCTTGTAAGTTGTCTTTTTAATTGCTTTGTAACTTATTGTTCTGTGTTTTCCGTATGTATCCATTAGCATCGGATATTGGTGCTGAATAAATATATTAAGCTCTCATTCTTCTCTGTGTATCATTCATCTTGACAATAGAATATTTTCCTTATCAATCCTGGTACTAGAGACCTTTTTCAGGAGCTAAGAATAACTGTTATTTTCTTTTTTTTTTAATTTTAGAAGGGGGTCCTGTTCATATTGCTGTTATATCCAGTCCGGTGGCCCTAATATATATCTCGAGATTCTAGACAAATCCTGTTGTAGAGTAACTAGGGCCCCTTCAGCACTCTACCATATAGCCTTGCTCATAGCCTTAAATAGTCTACGATTAAGGACTTCATCAGTTGATTAATAAGTTGATACTAAGCTAATTAATATTGAGATTGATCTTACTTCGTTTGGCTATACAACATTTGACCCTCTTTTATTCCTTGTAAGTTGTCTTTTTAATTATTTTGTAACTTATTGTTCTGTGTTTTTGTATGTATCCGTTAGCACCGGATATTGGTGCTGAATAAATATATTGAGCACTCATTCTTCTTTGTGTATCATTCACCTCGAAGATACAGCACCCATCATGCCACATACACAAGAGTAAATCATCCCCACTTAAAAAAAATATTCCATTAGTAAAAAAGAAGTTCCACCCGGACAGTTTCTTCTAAAAAAAACTACTACTTTATCGACGGAACAATATTTTCGCAATCACTACCATCTTGACCTCTTCAACTCTGGCATTAACCGTTGTTTTTCCTACATAGCCCTAAGAACTTGACTTTCCTACGCTCACAAAACACCACACCTCTACCTTGAGTGGCTCTCAGGCCTTGTATTGGGTGAACATTAGTATAAAGAAGTTAATGAATCTAAACAGAAGGCTACTAGATGTTACCTGGCGTAGATCTGCTAAGTTTGAGAAAACACGCCTCTGTTCAGACTTTTTATAGTTGGATCCCCAAATAGAAAAAAAAATTATATAATCATATGATAAATAACCAATATATTAATCAATACAAGCATGTACGTGCCTGTATTGATAGAGTTCAAAAGCGTCTACGCGGCCTTGTGGGTGATGACTTATTTTCCACCCTACCACCACTTTCCTCGGAGACAAAATATCGCAAGCCTCTTGCTGCATTATCGATACTTGCGTGTTTTCTGTTGAGCAATGTTCCTAAGTCCCACCAGCCCGGAACTTTACATCTGGAACTCACCATGCCACGTACAGAGGGGAGAATCATCCTCATTGCCTTCGTATTCCATTAGTAAGGAGGAAGTGCCACTCGGACACGATCAGTTGCAGGGCACACAAACTTTTGTCATCTTCAAGACTCACGTTTCCCCTCCTAAATTCAGCTCCCCACTATTGTACTGATGATCCCCTCATACACTGCAACGCTTAATACAGAAACGATATCATCATTGATATAATTGCGGGGGTGGGGAGCTTTTTTTTCTGCGGGCACTTGCTAACACCACGGTGCTAAATGTTGTCCATTTTCGAGAGAAGTCGCTACTTTTGAAATCTTCTTTGAACGGTCAGATTTCAGTTTACCTGAAAAGAAACAATGCAGTTATTAATAAGATGAAAGGTTTACAGAAGATTTGGAGCGAGAGCAGATAGGAGTGATAGAGGAAAGGATGAGGAGAAGGGTAGTGGATAGATCACAGCAACTGGAGATGTCGATTGACATTACATTTGAATAGCTCTCAGGGAAACTGGAATAGGGAAGGAAGTTCCACAGGCGAGAGGTGCGAGGCATGAAGCTATTGGAGTAGAAGAGACGGCTACATTTAATAGTTTCGACAGTGAAAGGGTGAGAGCGGGATACCAGCCTCGTAGGGCGTTTGAATTCATGAAGTCTGGGAACCAGCGAATGCAGCTCCTCGGAGCAATTGCCATGAAAGTATTTTAAAAAAAAAGACAGAGAGAGGCGACGGCACGTCTGTGAGAGAGTGACTGTAGACGAGATGCCAGAACAGGGCCAATTATATTGCATATCCGCCTCTGGAGCCTATCAAGAACCCTGAGGCAAACAGAAGGGGCTCCAGACCATATATGGCAGCAATTCCATGCAAGGGCGAATTGTTGATTTGTAGATCTGAAGGATCGATTCTGGGGAGAAAAATTTCCTGGCGCGGCACAGGGAGCCAACTTTCCTTGCGGTGGACGAAGCAATTGACTCAATGTATTTGTTCCATCTCAGGTCAGCAGTCAATGTGAGACCGAGCAGCCGCAGAGAGTTGCTCTCGAGCAGTTGAGCGTCAGACATTCTAATGGAGGGCAGGGAAGGATCTCTGTGGTGATTAATAGAGAGCAGTTTTGTTTTTGAGGCATTAAAGTTGACCAGCCAAATCCTGTCCCAGTTCCCAACTGATTGGAGGTCGATGCATACAAGATTTCATAGAACTATAAATTTTTTCCTTCACAGTCAATGAATGAACATTTCATGAAACCCTCGTACCTGGAATAAAAAGAATGCAGTTATTAATAAGAGTTGAAATTGAATGCAGCAAAGATTTCACAGTTCTAGCATCACTCCTTCATAGTCAGCCTATGACCTTTTCATTACCCTTTTATCAAAATAATTTTTTTTTTCAATTTATGTTAAACACTCTCACTTTTCTTGTTGTCAAAAATATAAAGTAAAAAGAAAGGGGTGACTTCTAAATTTTTTTTTTGGGGTTGGGGTCATTTTGATCAAAAAAAGAGAAAGAAAAAAAAAAGATAAAAGAAAAACAAAGATGAAAAAAAAAAGAATGAAAATGAAAGAAAGAAAAAAGAAAGAAAAGAAGACAAAAGAAAATCAGAAAGAAAAAAAAAGAAAGACAAAAAAAAAAATAAAAAAATGATTGTTTTGTCAAAAAAAAAAAAAAAAAGAAAAGAAAGAAATGAATGCAAAAAAAAAAAAAAAATTTAAATGAAAGAAAGAAAAATGTTGGAAAAAGGAAGTATTTCTTCTGCTTGGAAAAAAAAAAGAAATATATAAAGACACAAATTTTGAAGGAACGCAAAGAAAAAAAAAGATTAAATAAACTGAATGAAAGATTTTTAGAAAAAAGAAATCTTTGAGAGAAAGAAACAGGAAACATAAAGTTTTAGAAAAGGTAGGAAAGAAATTAATGAGAATAAAAGAAAAAAGTATCTGAAAGAAAATGACATAAAAAAAGAGGTTTGTCTCAAAAAGAAAGAAAGAAAGAAAAAAAGAAAGGAAAGAAAGAAAGAATGGAAAATAGAAACACTGGCAGGAAGAACGGTAAACGGCAAAGGAAGAAAGAAAGACAGAAAAATGGAAATACTGAAAGAACAAGAAAGAAAGAAAGAAAGAAAGAAAGAAAGAAAGAAAGAAAGAAAAAGAAAGAAAGAAAAAAGAAAGAAAGAAAGAATGGAAAATAGAAACACTGGCAGGAAGAACGGTAAACGGCAAAGAAAAAAAAAGACAGAAAAATGGAAATACTGAAAGAAAGAAAGAAAGAAAGAAAGAAAGAAAATAAATAAATAAATAAATAAAGAAAGAAAGAACACATCCTCAGAAATAGATCGAGACGTGTTTTTTTTAATTCTACACATTAGATCTTTATAGGTTCTGATTTGCTTGATATTTTTTTGTCTCATTCCAAGGATATATACAAAGATAATAGAAAATTTAATGAATCGTCATCTGTTGCGTTTACCCTAACTCTTTTTATCCGTTCTTCAATCCTCCCTACGCCCTTCTCTCACTTTCACCGTCCATAAACCCCTACATGCTGATGGGACACCCGCCTTGCTTGGGGTAAAATGCTTAAAATAATTTCGTTTCTTATATTGTCAAAGATTGTGTCCACCCAGAATAAATCCCGATAGGACTCCTAGTTCTCGCCGTATAGGTTAAATAAATCCGGTGACACAGTGCATGTTTGTTTTACCCACTTCTCTAAATTTTTCTGTACTTAACGAATTCATAATCAATATTTCGTTCTGTAGATATATCACCTATGTTTTTTTTTTTCATTATTTTTCATATTTTTTTTAATTCTAATACATTTTTTTAGATATTTTTCTTCATTCGTTTTTACTTTTAACTGTTTACTTTTTTTTCCTTTATATCGCATTCATGTTTTTTCTCTCTTCATCTTTTCCTATTCTTTTCTTTGCATCTTCTTCTTTTTTATTCTTTTCATATCCCGACATTTTTTTTTATCATATTCAATTCCTTCGTTCATTTATATTTTCCCATTTTGAACACTTCTGCCTTGTTCCCTATGGCTTCATTTATTCCTCTTTCTCCGTCTACCTCTTTCCCGCCATTTTATTTTCGCGCCTCTTCTAGATTTCTCCATTGATAAACAAGCCGCCATTTTAACGCCGGTGAATCGATGTAAGGTAGTCTTAATGCAGCATTACCATTTTTCATTTCTTTCCTTCAATAGATTGAAACGTGTCTTCATTACGCGTCAGGACAAGGCGAACAGCATCACGCATCAATGCCAGTTTTTTATACTTCTATCGAAATTTGACAGCGAGATTAGCAGAAGATCAATCGGTTAAAAAAGAGCTAAATAAGTCGTCGTCGTCGTTGTCTCGTATCCAAGTATTTAACTACCGATCGCTACCTTTCGTATATAGACCAAAAGCAACGCCAATTGCCATCTTCTCTTTTCCTGAAGGCTCTTTTATTGTCCGGATTACACGTTGAAACACCAAACTTAAGCAACGTTGAGCCTGGTCAGTACCTACATCGGTGACCATTTAGAGATACCAGGTACTGTAATCTTGGATGTGTGGGTGGTGTAATGGCCCGGAAATTAATCGGAGAGGCGTGTTCTAACCCTCGTTGCGTTCGCTATATTCTTTAACTTGCAAATACCTTTTGGAAAGGAATAAATCAACCTCTTCTCATCCCCCCCATCTATGGGTTTATTATTGAGACTTGTATCGCTAAACCGTTATTATCTAAAAAAAAAAAAAAAGATTATTACAATCTATAAAAAAATTCAGGCTTTAAAAAGTACCCAAGTTGGCATCTACGCGGACGACACTATAATTTACTCCTGCCTCAAAAACAAATCTAGTGTCGCCGACAAAACTAACCTGGCCGTTTGTCTTGAAAAGGACCTCCAATCGATTGTGGACTGGTCAGGAATTGGCTGGTTAAATTTAATGCCTCAAAAACAAAACTGCTCTCCAGAGAGAACCATCCCTGCCTTCCATTAGAATGTCTGAGGCTCAAATCCACGAGAGCACCTCTTTGCGACTGCTCGGTCTCACATTGTCAGATGGAACAAATATATTGAGTCAATAGCTTCGTCCACCGCTAGGAATGTCGGCTCCCTGTGCCGCGCCAGGAAATTTTTCTCGCCGGAGTCAATCCTTCAAATCTACAAATCAACCATTCGCCCTTGCATGGAGTATTGCTGCCATATATGGTTTGGACCCCCTTCTGTTTGTCTCAAGGTCCTTGATAAAATCTAAAGACGGATATGCAATATAATTGGCCCTGATCTGGCATCTCGTCTGCAGTCTCTCTCTCACAGACGTACCGTTGCCTCCCTCTGTCTTTTTTACAAATACTTTCACGGTAACTGCTCCGATGAGCTGCTTTAGCTGGTTTCCAGACTTCCTGAATTTAAGCGTTCAACTAGGCTGGCATCACGCTCTCAGCCTTTCACTGACGAAACTGTTAAATGTAGCCGTCTCTTCTACTCCAATAGCTTCATGTCTCGCACTTCTCGCCTGTGGAACTCCCTTTTCTTGTTTCCCTGATAGCTATAATCTCCAACTATTCAAATGTAATATCAATCGACATCTCCAGATGCCTTGATCTATCCCCTACCCTTCTCTTCATCCTTTCCTCTTTCACTCCTCTTTGTTCTCACTCCAACTCTCTGTAACCCATTGCGTGCTCGTGGTTTTCCGCCTTGCTTGGGGTTGAATGCTTAAAAAAATAAAATAAAATAACCTGCAAAGGGTTGATAAACCGTAAAAAGCAATTCAATCAATAAATAAAATGCAGATTTATCTTTATTGTTTTGGACTTTAAAGGCACTTTGAATCGCTTCTTATTAATTTTTTTTTTATCTCGTGATTGGCTGATAATGTTTAATTATTTAACTAGCCGCTAAAAAATGAAATAAAATGGTGTCTTCGTCGGATAATTTTTTATTCTTGTATCCAAATTTTTAATTTATTATTTCTTTGCTGAATTATTAAAAAAAAAAAATTGTAAGTCTAATGTCAGTGGTGAAAAAAATTCTTCGTTATGTCAAATGGTTGTGTTTTTCAGAAAGACTACGTTGATTTTTAATTTGCCATATTTGCAGATTCAGGATTACAAGTTTCAGTTTCAATAAAACTTGTTATTGAAAAAAAAAAAAAGACCAATTTCTATCGCCGTTTGGCTTTTTGAAAAAGTTGGGATGAAATTTAAAAAAATCAGAAAAATTTTTTAGTGCCGATGGCGTCAATTTGTTTTTGGTGGGCCTCAACTTGCCAGGAAATCGTCAAAGAAAGATACGCTCTTCATTTCGTCTCATTATAAAATTTAATTTCTTCTTTACTAATATTATTTTCTTTCTGATGATGGCGTTGATGATTAAATTCAACGTCCAGGTTCAGGCTGTTTTTTGGGGGTTTTTTAGCGGCATATCACCCGCGATGTGTTATTTAATGTCGAAATCTCAATAATTTGTATTCTTATTTTTGAGATAATAATACAAAGTGAATTACGCTCACAGGTCTAAATAATTAACCCGTAGTTGCGGGGGGGGGAGTAGTGGATTTATACTTTTCCCAAGAGTACGTTCACATAAGCCAACTGCAAATGGAACTCGCCTCTTTGATTAACAATTCCGAGCAATTACATGCAAGCCTACACCACCTGTTATTCCCAAATGGTACCATCTAAGTATTGACCAGGATCGACGTTGTTTAACTTCGGTGGTCGGAAGGAGAATTGGTGTTTCAACGTGAAAGTAAGCCCCAGGTTCAGGACGAGAAGCTTCCTGTTTTACCCATAAAACAAGGGTATTATTAAACAAAAAATGTAATTTTCCCAATAATTTTTTAGAAAGAATTATTATTTCTATTAACTCTAGATCAGGGCTGGCCAAAACACGGCTCGCTCACCGTCGTAGTGATTGATAGTGTTGGACTGTATGCCATTATTATGAATATTATTATTATTATTATTATTATTATGAGAGGAAAGGAGAAAGACTTCATGCAGTCTCATCGTAGTAGTTATGATGGTGTTAGACCCACCATATGAAAATTATTATTTTTATTAAGTAAAGAAAGGAAAGGAGAAAGACTGTACGTTCATCGTAGTAGTGGTGATGGTGTTAGACCTGCCATTTATTTATTATTATTATTATTATTAATTAAAAAAGAGAGGGGAAGTTAATATGAAAGATGCCATTATTATTATATTATAGTAGGTGAAAGATGGCTCATCGTAGTTTTATGAATTAGACATGCCATTATTATTATTATTATTATTATTAAATAAATAAAAGGGAAGGAGAAAGACTTTACGCTCATCGTAGTAGTGGTGATGGTGTTAGATTATTGCCATTATTATTATTATTATTATTATTATTATTATTATTATTATTAAATTAAATTATTATTAAAAAAGGAAGAAAAAGACTGTACGCTCATCGTAGTATTATTGGTGATGGTGTTAGAAACATGCCATTATTATTATTATTATTATTATTATTAAATAAAGGAGGGAAGGACAAAGATTGTAGTGGTGAACGCTCATCGTAGTAGTGGTGATGGTTATTTTACCTGCCATCATTATTATTATTATTATTATTATTATTAAAAAAAAGGGGAAGGATTGAAAGACTGTACGCTCATCGTATTAAGTGGTGATGGTGTTAGACATGCCATTATTATTATATTATTATTATTATTAAAAATAAAGAGAGGGAAGGAGAAAGATTGTACGCTCATCGTAGTAGTGGTGATGGTGTTAGACCTGCCATCATTATTATTATTATTATTATTATTATTATCATTATTAATTAAATAAAGAGGGAAGGAAAAAAGACTGTACGCTCAAAGTGGTGATGGTGTTAAATTATTATTATTCATTATTATTCATTATTAGTAGTAAATTATTTGATGGTGTTATGGTGTTAGACATGCCCATTATTATTATTATTATTATTTTAAAGATAAAGGGAAGGAGAAAGACTGTACGCTCATCGTAGTAGTGGTGATGCCATTATTATTATTATTATTAAATTTCAGAGGGAAGGAGAAATATTATTATTATTATGCCATTATTATTATTATTATTAAATAAAGAGAGGAAGGAGAAAGACTGTACGCTCATCGTAGTAGTGGTGATGGTGTTAGACATGCCATTATTATTATTATTATTATTAAAAAATAAAGAGGGAAGGAAGGAAAAGACTTTACGCTCATCGTAGTAGTGGTGATGGTGTTATTGCCATTAAATAAATTCAAGCATTATTAAATTATTATTATTATTATTATTATTATTAAATAAAGAGAGGGAAGGAGAAAGACTGTACGCTCATCGTAGTAGTGGTGATGGTGTTAGACATGCCATTATTATTATTATTATTAAATTATTATTATTATTATTAAATTAATTAAAGTTAGAATGAAAGAGATTACGCTCATTAGTAGTGGTGATTCATTATTATTATTATTAAAATGAGAGGGAAGGAGAACATACCATTATTATTATTATTATTATTATTAAATAATTAAAAAGTAGGGAAGGAGAAAGACTGTACGCTCATCGTAGTTTTTTTTGATGGTGTTAGAATTTTATTATTAAATTATTATTATTATTACCAATTATTATTAATTAAATAAAGAGGGAAGGAGAAAAGACTGTACGCTCATCGTAGTAGTGGTGATGGTGTTAGACATGCCATTATTATTATTATTATTATTATTATTATTATTAAATAAAGAGAGGGAAGGAGAAAGACTGTACGCTCATCGTAGTAGTGGTGATGGTGTTAGACATGCCATTATTATTATTATTTTATTATTATTATTATTAAAGTAGTGGTGATGGGGAAGGAGAAAATTGTACGCTCATCGTAGTTATTGGTAGATTGATGGTTTAGACATGCCATTATTATTATTATTATTATTATTAAATAAAGAGAGGGAAGGAGAAAAACTGTACGCTCATCGTAGTAGTGGTGATGGTGTTAGACATGCCATTATTATTATTATTATTAAATAAAGAGAGGGAAGGAGAAAGACTGTACGCTCATCGTAGTAGTGGTGATGGTGTTAGACATGCCATTATTATTATTATTATTAAATAAAGAGAGGGAAGGAGAAAGACTGTACGCTCATCGTAGTAGTGGTGATGGTGTTAGTTTGCCATTATTATTATTATTATTATTATTAAATAAAGAGAGGGAAGGAGAAAAACTGTACGCTCATCGTAGTAGTGGTGATGGTGTTAGACATGCCATTATTATTATTATTATTATTATTAAATAAAAGAGGGAAGGAGAAAACTGTACGCTCATCGTAGTAGTGGTGATGGTGTTAGACATGCCATTATTATTATTATTATTATTATTAAATAAAGAGAGGGAAGGAGAAAAAACTCATCGTAGTACGCTCATCGTAGTATTATTATGATTATTATTTAAACATGTACCATTATTATTATTATTATTATTATTAAATAAAGAGAGGGAAGGAGAAAGACTGTACGCTCATCGTAGTAGTGGTGGTGATATTATTATTATTAGAAACATGCCATTATTATTATTATTATTATTATTAAATAAAGAGAGGGAAGGAGAAAGACTGTACGCTCATCGTAGTAGTGGTGATGGTGTTAGACATGCCATTATTATTATTATTATTATTATTAAATAATTATTATTATTTTTATTAAAGAGAGGGAAAAACTGGCTCATCGAAAGATTGCCGTTCAGGGAAGGAGAAAAGACTGTACGCTCATCGTAGTAGTGGTGATGGTGTTAGACATGCCATTATTATTATTATTATTATTATTAAATAAAGAGAGGGAAGGGTGAATGGTGTTACGCTCATTATAGTATTATGGTATTAATGGTGTTAGATTGCCATTATAATTATTATTATTATTATTATTAAATAATTATTATTATTAAATAAAGGAGGGAAGGAGAAAAACTGTACGCTCATCGTAGTAGTGGTGATGGTGTTAGATTGCCATTATTATTATTATTATTATTATTATTATTAAATAAAGAGAGGGAAGGAGAGGAAAGACTGTACGCTCATCGTAGTAGTGGTGATGCCATTATTATTATTAATTGTTAGACATGCCTCATCGTTATTATTATTATTATTATTATTATTATTTAATTAAATAAAGAGAGGAAGGAGAAAGACTGTACGCTCATCGTAGTAGTGGTGATGGTGTTAGACATGCCATTATTATTATTATTATTATTAAATAAAGAGAGGGAAGGAGAAAGACTGTACGCTCATCGTAGTAGTGGTGATGGTGTTAGACATGCCATTATTATTATTATTATTATTATTAAATAAAGAGAGGGAAGGAGAAAGACTGTACGCTCATCGTAGTAGTGGTGATGGTGTTAGACATGCCATTATTATTATTATTATTATTATTAAATAAAGAGAGGGAAGGAGAAAGACTGTACTCTCATCGTAGTTGTGGTGATGGTGTTAGACATGCCATTATTATTATTATTATTAAAAGTTATTCTTGTTCTTGATGGTTGCCATTATTATTTATTTATTAAGTGAAATATTTTGATTGATTTTTTTATTACGATTTATCGAGAGGGAAGGAGAAAGTTATTAAAATCGAAACAAATTTTTGAAATATAATAATAATAATAATAACAATCGTTTTTTATGACTGGACATTATTATTAATTATTTTACGGAATGCATATATAAATGATATGAAAATTATTTTATTATTAAATGTGCATTGGTCCTACGAATAAATATGATAATAAACCATTATTATTATTATCATCGACGGACGAGAAATTATGTCTCGCCCAGGGTTTAAGTAAAGCAAGGAAAGAAGAAAAGACTGTACACTCATCATAGTTGTTAATGTTGATGGTATTTATTATTATTATTATTATTATTATTATTATTATTATTATTATTATTATTCATTCGGCATCATTTTTCAAATTAGAGGTTGACTGAAATAATTCGGCGCTCGACTGATGTTCACAAATCTCTATATAGAGGCCGGGGAACAACAATGTTCAACTATTGGTTAGAAATTGCAACTCGAGATTAAAGACTTCAGTGACTGACCGCAGGGGTTGATCACCGGGATAAAGTTTGTCAAGCTGTGTCTTGCATTAAATTTTTTACCGTAATCGACAAAGATGTCTCGGTAAATTAGGGTTAGGCTACAATTTCCGAAAAGGAAAGATGTATGAGTTGAATTTTACGGATAGATAGATAGATAGAATGAAGATAGATAGATAGATAGATAGATAGATAGATAATATGAACATACTGAGATAGATACATATATATATATATATATATATATATATATATATATATATATATATATATATATATACATAACATATGAACATATAGATAGATAGATAGATAGATAGATAGATATATAGACACATAGATTTGTATAAGTAGATAGATCTGAAAAACACTGTGATAGATAAAATAGATATAAATAGCCAGTTAGAAAATAGCAGTCTATCTATCTGTCTATCTCTCTATCTATATATCTATCTATCTATCTATCTATATATATCTATCAGTCTTTTCATATCTATCTATCTATCTATCTATCTATCTATCTATCTATCTATCTATCTATCTCAGTCTTAGTTTTATTCATCTATCTATCTATATCTATCTATCTCCCTCTATATCTATCTATCTATCTATCTATCTATCTATCTATCTATCTCAGTTTTTTTCATATTCTATTCATCTATCTATCTATCTATCTCAGTTTTTCATATCTATCTATCTATCTATCTATCTATCTATCTATCTATCTATCTATCTATCTATCTTGTTCTCACCTATAAGACTTAGTTCATATCTAACTGTTTGTCTATAAAGCTACCACTCCTTGACTTTTTTAAATAGATAGATAGATAGATGTTGTTGTATAAATGTGAAAAGACTGCGATAGATAGAAACAGATATGAATAGCGTTTTAATTATCTATCTATCTATCTATCTATCTATCTATCTATCTATCTATCTATCTATCTATCTATCTATCCGTTTGTATAGATAGATAGATAGATAGATAGATAGATAGATAGATAGATAGATAGATACGAACGTACTGAGATAGATACATACATATGAATATACAGTTATATATATATATATATATATATGTGTGTGTGTCCAGAAAGATAAATAGATTTGTATAACTAGATAGATGCGACAACACTGTGATAAATAAAAATAGATATAAATAGTCAGCTAGTTAGATAAATAGCATTCTGTCTATCTCTCTCTATATATATATATGTGTGTCTCTCTCTCTATATATATATCAGTATATTCATGCATTTACGTATGTAGATATCCTTCTATCCCAGTCTTTTCATATCTATCTATATCTCGTTCTCACTCTATAAGATTCTTAGTTCGTATCTATCTGTTTGTCTATATAGCTATCACTCCTTGCCTTTTTTTAGATAGATAGATAGATAGATAGATAGATAGATAGATAGATAGATAGATAGATAAATAAACGACTGAGATAGATAGATAGATAGATAGATAGATAGATAAAGTTAAAAGACCGCGATAGATAGAAATAGCGTTTTATCTATCTATCTATCTATCTATCTATCTATCTATCTATCTATCTATCTATCTATCTATCTCAGTCGTTTATTTATCATCTATCTATCTATCTATCTATCTATCTATCTATCTATTTCAGTATGTTCATATCTTTCTGTATGTTCATATCTATCTATCTATAATGTCTGTCTGTCTAGATGGATAGGTAAGGGAAAGTGGATGAGTTGAAGTTACGGACGGACAGATAGATAGATAGATAGATAGATAGATAGATAGATAGATAGATAGATAGATATGAACATACTGAAATAAATAGATAGATATGAACAAACTGAAATAGATAGTTATGAACATAATGAGATAGATAGATAGATAGATAGATAGATAGATAGATAGATAGATAGATAGATAGATATGAACATACTGAAATAAATAGATAGATATGAACAACATACTGAAACAGATAGATATGAACAAACTGAAATAGATAGTTATGAACATAATGAGATAGATAGATAGATAGATAGATAGATAGATAGATAGATAGATAGATAGATAGATAGATAGATATGAACATACTGAAATAAATAGATAGATATGAACATACTGAAACAGATAGATATGAACAAACTGAAATAGATAGTTATGAACATAATGAGATAGATAGATAGATAGATAGATAGATAGATAGATAGATAGATAGATAACCTTTATTTATTTACCCATTCACCTATAATCAGACATGAAACACACATGACAAATCTGCCAGAAGGTATATCACACTCAGTAGAAAATATCGTTTTAAAAGAAGCCACTGTGTCGTACACTTTATATAAAGCCTTGTCTACGGCTTTCCTTGGCTTCTCTTTTCTATTTCTGATTTCAACCAACCAAATGTTTCATATTCCACAAGAAAAATGATTTCTATTCTTTTGGTAATTTCCTCGCCGTTTTCACATATTTTTTTTTACTGTTTTTCAACCAATCCAAGCCACAAGAGCTCCTCAAGATAGACAGTTAATAAATATGTTTGTTGTAAGTATGTACTTGGATGGAGCAGGAGGTTCATCTTATAAATGATACGATAGACAGGATAGATAGCGGTTGAATATAGGTTAAGATTGAAATGATCAGGGGACTATACTGTCGAGCATGCGTAACAGTTCTGGTTAAGAATCTTTCTGAGCGAAACTTCCTCCTTGCTAATGGAATATGAAGGGAATGAGTCCAAACATGTGCAATGAAAATAGCGATGGAAGAGCGAGTGTCTAGCAACGTTTCATTTAGGGGAAAGTGGTTGTATAGTGAAAAACTATTCGTCACTCACAAGGTCTGTAAATGCTTTTGAACTTTCTCAATGTTGAAATGAGAGGATTGGTTTGTTTGTTTGTTTTTTTTGGTGTTTTTTTTAATAATGACTTCACCCCATGAAAGGCGATAAAGCCACTAAGACGCAAGAGGTTACTGGTAGTCGAAAGAAATGAGAATATTTTTGTGAGGAGAAAAGACAATAGAAGAATAGGCTTCAAGAAGACAGAAGATTTTGGCGTAGCAAGGAATCAGAGATTCCACCGGCCAGAAATCTATTTAAATTGAACATATGGTTGCATTTAGAAGGTTCATCAGGAAAACCTTAGGACCTAATTGTTAATGTAGTAGCACGCTAAAATTCTTGCATTTGTGGCATCAGAACAATTGCCATGAAAATATTTACAGACAAGATAGAAGGAAGTTACGTATTGTCGATGGGAATGTCAATGAAACTGAAGTGCCAGGTCACATTCAATTGCATAACAGATCATACTTTGAATTTTCTCAAGAACCTTTAGATAGTTTCTAAGAACACTAGACCAGATATAGCAGCGACATTCAATGTATGGACGAATGATAAATGCGAAATTCTGGCGGGAAAAAACTGTCTTGCACGAAATAGTGAATCGACTTTCCTGGCAGTAGATCTAGCAATTGATTCAACTTAATCATTCCACTTCATGTCCATGTTAAACGTGAGCCCGAGAAACTACAAAGACTTGCTCTCCTGGAGGTTAGCAGCAGCCATACTGATGGAAGGCGGAAAAGGTTCACGATGGTGATTAAATGAAAGTAGTTTTGTTTTAGAGGCTTTAAAATTTGCCAGCCATACCTTGCCTCAGTTAACAACTGATTGGATATCCTTTTCTAGAGCAGTTGCTAGTTTTATTATTATTATTATTGTTATATTTCGATTTCTTCTATGGTCACAGTAATTACCAAGTCTGCGGGAAAACCAAAGGCAGGTAGTCGTGTTTTGTTATGGCGACATTTCATGATTTGTTTTTCTAACTTCCTTAAAATCACCAGCGTTACATGGACAAAGTTCTTCTTAGTGAGTGGACTGTACTTATCAAGACAATTTTTTTGTATTTCTTTTAAACTGGGATCTCCATGGATTTTTTTCAATGTATTGTGTTCATTTTTTTATCATTCCAAGGGTACCTCTTATGACTGGTACTATTTCAATTTCCACATTATTATTATTATTATTATATTTCGATTTCTGCTATGATCACCCTACCGGCCAAATCTGTGGGAAGACATAAGGCAGAGACTGCTGTGTTTTTATGGCTCCATTTCATGAATTGTTTTTCTAACTCCCATAACATCATTAGCGTTACATGAATAAAATTCATCTTACTGTGTGGGCTGTACTTATCAAGGCAATTTTTGTATTTCTCTTAAGCTGGGATTGCCAGGATTTTTTCAATGTGTTGTTTTGTTCCTTTTTTATCATTCCAAGCGCTCCTATTATGACTGATACTATTCTTGTTTCCACTTTCCACATTTTTCTATTATTATTATTATTATTATTATTAATATTCCATTTCTGCTATGGTCACACTACCTACCAAGTCTGCGGGAAGACCTAAGATATATAGAGCTGTGTGGTTATGACAACATTTCATGATTTGTTTTTCTAACTTGTACTTACAAAAGGGAGGCTTAGGGCGCTAGGCCCCTTTCCCCAATATTTTTTAAAAGTATTATAAACTATGGATGTTTAGATAAAACCCCACTACGCCAATAACCACGGCCGTACTTTCTGGAGGAAAATAGTCCCACCCCCATACGTTTAAATAAGTATTAATTAAAAAAGAAAATATGGGTGCCAGTCTAAATAAAATCCCACAGCAACAATACCAATCCGTGTTTTCTGGGTGGGGGAGATGGGCTAAGCACTACTCCATTATTTTTAGATAAGTATTTATTTAATTACTCTACTTTATTGATTTCAAGCAAATAAAATCGATTTGTCGAAGTTAAGGTTGAGTTTTGGCATTTTCTTTTCAAATTATTATCGTAATAAAAAAGATAGTAACTAAATTAAATTTTAGATAGTAATTTCTTTTTAAAGAAGCAAAAACTAAATAGCCTGATTTCTATTTAAAAAAAAAAATAATAATAAGGGGGTATCCCCCGATTCCCGCTACAGAACGGCCCTAAAATCAATTTTCAAACGACTTTTATTTCATAGTTAAAGGATTTCCTACCTTGTCAAAATTACCGAATTTTCCTTTATCTAATCTTACGTTACGGAATTTCCCGCTACCGAATTTTCCCGGGCATTCGATGCAAGGTTTCGATCGTGAACACAGAAATCTGCACCAAAAAAAAGGACCAGTGTCAAATTGCGGTCATTTTATACGAACAGTGAAAATCGAGCACGGCATTCTGCAATGATCTGATAATTACCGTGACAATTATCATGTTGATAGTTAAGGTTAGATCATCGGCGACTTTACAACAATAATTCGAAAATTGGTAACCCGCTTCTTCTCTGCCCTCTTTTTCCAAATAATATCAGCGGTGGATGGCTTTCGAATAAAGGTAAATGGAATGGGTGGTGTTCCAAATCTACTAATCGTAATTGTCAATAGATTTCTGCAAAAAAAAAAAGAAGAAAATGAAAAGAAACCAAACAAAAAAAAAAATAAATGTAGCGATATGTAGTTACAATAACGACCGCTGAGTGGCGCCGCCATTAACGACTATCAGAGGCTTTCAATGCGAGACTGACGGTTTGAGATAGGCGGAGCTAGCCTTCTGGATAACATGCTGACTTCCAGGGTGATATGGAGACGACAAAGCAGAATTGGTAATATGTTTTGATTCTGTGTTCTTGCTGTGGTTCTTTGTTTTATTTGGTTTGCCAAATTGTAAAGAAACTATGTACTGACTGTCTATAGCCATTGTTAGATATATGCGTGTCCTGATCGTTTTATAAAAGAGACGCCATATTGGTTGAGACAAGATGTAACGAAAAGAAAGAAAGAAAAAAGAAAGAAAGTATTGATAAGAAAAAAGAAAGAAATAAAATAAAGAAATTAACGATAAAAACAAAGAAAAAAAAAAGAAAGTATTGATAAGAAAAAAAAAAGAAAGAAAGAAAGAAAGAAACTAACAATAAAAACAAAGAAAGAAAGAAAAAAAGAAAGTGTTGATAAGAAAAAAGAAAGAAAGAAAATAAACTACAGATAAAAAGAAAGAAGAAAAGAAAGATAGAAAAAGGGAATTCGAATGAAAGGGTTCATGACAAAGAAAGGAAAAGGAAAATAATTAACAAAAGAAAGAAAGTGGCAGTAAAAAAAGAGAAAGAAAAGGGAGAAAGAAAGAAAACGTGAATATGAAAGAAAGTGTCGATAAGAAAGGAAGAAAGAAAGAAAATGAAGAAAATGACGATAAATAGGAAGAAAGATCGACAGAAAGAAAAAAAGTGTCGATGAAAAAGAAAGAAAGAAAAAGTGAAAGAAATGGTCATAAGAAAGAAAAAAAACTAAAGAAACAAAGAGAGAAACTGTTGATAGAAAGAAAGTAAGAAAAAAGAAAGAAAGAAAGAAAGAAAGAAAAAGTGAATTCGAAGGAAAGGGCTCATGAGAAAGAAAGAAAAAGGAAAATAATTAACAAAAGAATAAAACTGGCAGTAAAAAAAAAAAAAAAAAGCGAGAAAGGAAGAAAATGTGAACATGAAAGAAAGTTTCGATAAGAAAAAAAGAAAGAAAGAAAATGAAGAAACTGGCGATAAGTAGGAAGAAAGATCGACAGAAAGAAAAAAAGGTGTCGATAAAAAAGAAAGACAGAAAGAAAAAGTGAAGGAAAGTGATCATAAGAAAGAAAAAAAGAAAGAAAGAGAAACTGTTGAAAGAAAGAAAGAAGGTGATGATGATGAAAAAGAAAGAGACAACAATGGTGACGAAAAGTAAAAGTAATTGATTATAACATAAAATGGTAAAAATCAAGAAAGAAATAAGAAATATAGAAAATGAAAGAAAAGAAAGAAAAAAAAAAAGACAGAAAGAAAGAAAGACAGAAGCACTGACGATAAAAATAACGAAGGTAATAAGTGTTGATATAATATAATGCTGATGAGAAATAAATAAATGGAAGATAGAAGTATTAATCTCATGCCAATACCCCCATAAATAATGGACTATTCCATTTTGATCGCATGGAAAAACGGAAAAGACATATCAGAGACGCTCGTTGGTTTCAGTGAAAAAATGAATGAAAGAAAGAAAAAACAAAGAAACTAACAATAAAAAGAAAGGTAGAAAGTGAAAAGAAAAGAAAGCGTTTATAAGAAAGAAAGAAACAAAAAACATAAAAAAGTCAAAGAACGAGAGAATGAATGAATGAATGAATGAATGAATGAATGAAAAAAGAAGGAAACTGACAATAAGAAAGAAGCAAATAAATATATAAGAAAAATCAAAGGAAGACCGAGTGAATGAATGAATGAAAAAGAAAGAACCTGGCAATAAGAAAAAAAATCAAAGAACGGGTGAATGAATGAAAAAGAAAAAAAGCCTGGCAATAAGAAAGAAAAAATATAAGAAAAATCAAAGAAAGAACGATGAATGAATGAATGAATGAATGAATGAATGAAAACGACGCAGACTAAAAATAAGAAAGAAACGAAAAAAAATGTCAGAAATGTCAAAGAAAGAACGAATGAAAGAAAGAAAAAGTAACAAATTAACCAAGAAAAAGCAGACGATAAAATATGGAGTCGAAAATTGTACAATATTCTCACGAAATTTTCCTAACGTCTTCCAAAAGCAAAGTGTTTCTGGAAGACATTTTTCAACATTCTTATACATCATCTCTTTCTGATTGCTAGCGTCAGTTTTTTTCATTATTATTTTCCTTAACTTTACTCGGCACTCCGTTACCCAATCCATTGTATTTTCAGCGTTTGTTTATAGAAGCACTACCCTGTTTCTTCAAGTCATATGTTCATATATAAAGAAATTGTCCAGTATTTACTTCCATATAAGAGATTAGATATTAAAACGCACTTGTTACACAAAAGTAGAAAGGGGCATAAGACAAGGAGGAAACGTCTCGCCAGATTTATTTAACCTTTACTGATAGAACCACGTCTTTATTTCTTAAGTCTATTGTTCATATATGAAGAAATTGTCCAGTATTCACTTCCATATAAGAGATTAGATATTAAAACGCACTTGTTACACAAAAGTAGAAAGGGGCATAAGACAAGGAGGAAACGTTCACCAGATTTATTTAACCTTTACTGATAGAACCACGTCTTTATTTCTTAAGTCTATTGTTCATATATGAAGAAATTGTCCAGTATTCACTTCCATATAAGAGATTAGATATTAAAACGCACTTGTTACACAAAAGTAGAAAGGGGCATAAGACAAGGAGGAAACGTCTCACCAGATTTATTTAACCTTTACTGATAGAACCACGTCTTTATTTCTTAAGTCTATTGTTCATATATGAAGAAATTGTCCAGTATTCACTTCCATATAAGAGATTAGATATTAAAACGCACTTGTTACACAAAAGTAGAAAGGGGCATAAGACAAGGAGGAAACGTCTCGCCAGATTTATTTAACCGTTACTGATGGAACCACGTCTTTATTTCTTCAAGTCTATTGTTCATATATGAAGAAATTGTCCAGTATCCACTTCCATATAAGAGATTAGATATTAAAACGCACTTGTTACACAAAAGTAGAAAGGGGCATAAGACAAGGAGGAAACGTCTCGCCAGATTTATTTAACCTTTACTGATAGAACCACGTCTTTATTTCTTCAAGTCTATTGTTCACATATGAAGAAATTGTCCAGTATTTACTTCCATATAGGAGATTAGATATTAAAACGCACTTGTTACACAAAAGTAGAAAGGAGCATAAGACAAGGAGGAAACGTCTCGCCAGATTTATTTAACCTTGACTGATAGAACCACGTCTTTATTTCTTCAAGTCTATTGTTCATATATGAAGAAATTGTCCAGTATTCACTTCCATATAAGAGATTAGATATTAAAACGCACTTGTTACACAAAAGTAGAAAGGGGCATAAGACAAGGAGGAAACGTCTCGCCAGATTTATTTAACCTTTTATCGCTAGGTGATATTAAGAGAATAAGAAGTTCTATAAGGATTTATTATAGGTTGGCAGGTATGTTGGGTACCAACCCTGAACATTCCGACTTGGTGAAAGGCTGACAGTGCTTTGTGAGCCTCGATATATTATCAATATTTGCTTTTTTTTCTACCTACATTTATATACATTACAAAATAAACTTAGAACAACTGACTATTAAAGGATGATAAATTTTCGTGGATATTGAAATCATCCTGAGGTCTTTTTTTATTTTATTTTCGTCTAAATTCGCAAATTTGTTTTGCACGTGCTAAATCTCGTAAAAACATTAAAATTCACTATTTTTTTTTATCCATGATGTTCATTGTGTTAAAATTATTCAACTATTTAACATGAAAAATTTCAAGTCGGTGTCAAAAATCACCTGCAAATATATTTGAGTTATTTAAGAGAATTGTCTATTATGACATGTCTCTAGATTTGTATTTAGGTACGTTGCATTTTTATTTTCAATTTTTCTAGTTGAATTGTTCACCTATATTGCACATGATCCACTAATGTACGTAATTAGGCCTCTCTGTATATATATATATATATATATATATATATATATATATATATATATATATATATATGCCATATATATTCGCTTATATACGAAGATATATATAAATATATATATATATATATATATATATATATATATATATATATATATATATATATATGTGTGTTTCCTACGTACATTTATATACATTACAAATTAAACTAAGCACAAAGAATGAAAGATTTTAACGGACTTTAACGTCATTCTTTTTGTCTAAATCTGTGAATTTTTTAACATTATTTTTTATCCATAATGTTGAATGCGTTAAAATTATTTCACATGAAAATTCTCAAGTTAATGTTAAAAATAACCGCAAAACATTGTTGATTTATTTAAGTTGGAATGATCTATTATGACATGTCTCTAATTTGTATTGAGATACATTGTGTCTATTTTCAATTTTTCTACTTGAGGTGTGGGGGGTTAAGCCTAAATGGGGATCGCGGGTGAGAACAATCTGAAATTGATGTTAAAAATTGCCACAAAACATTGTTGATTTATTTAAGATGGAATGATCTATTGTGACAGGTCTCTAATTTGTATTGAGATACATTGTGTCTATTTTCAATTTTTCTACTTGGGGAGGTGAGAACAATCTGAAATTGATGTTAAAAATTGCCACAAAAAAAATTGTTGATTTATTTAAGATGGAATGATCTATTTGACAGGTCTCTAATTTGTATTGGGTCTATTTTCAATTTTTTCTACTTGAGGTGTGGGAGAACAATCTGAAATTGATGTTAAAAATTGCCACAAAACATTGTTGATTTATTTAAGATGGAATGATCTATTATGACAAGTCTCTAATTTGTATTTAGATACATTGGATTTATTTACAATATTCCTAGTTAAATTGTTCAACTATATTGCATAGGATTCATTATTGTACATAATTAGGATACAATAAAATTTTATATGAAGACTACCTTATGATCTTTGAGATCTAGCCGAGTGGAGAGCTGGTATCAGGAGGAAGTTGTCTGTTTCTTCTGTTCATAGCCCCCCACCTCCGACGATTGAAGCAGTAAAGAGAGACAACGACGACGACGATGATGATGATGATGATGATGATGATGATCTATTATGACAGGTCTCTAATTTGTATTTAGATACATTGGATTTATTTTTAATTTTTCTAGTTGAATTATTCGCCTATATTACATAGGATTCATTATTGTACATAATTAGGTGACAATAAAATTTGTGTATTATATGAAAATTACCTTATGAAAATTGAGATGTAGTAAAGTGGGGAGCTGGTGTCATAGATTCAGGGCTGAGGAACGAGACCTTTGCACCGCCCTACCAAGATTTACTTCTTGTAGCTGAGTCAAGGGCCTCATATAATTGTTTTTAGTGGGGAGGAGCATGATACACTTGCGCCGACTCTGCATGGTGGGCAAAATCACAAGCGTATATGCTGCACAGATGACACCGTATTGATGTTAAGCACAGGATGAAAACTGCAGGTACTTCTAGATAAGGATAAGGGAAGGCGAGAAGAAAGGGCTAACCATCACTTGTAAGAAGACATAGTATTCGGTCGTTAGCAAGAAGGACAGCCCGAAATGCAATCTACAAATTGGAGATGTCAAAATTTAGCAAAAATACGTTAATTTTATCATCTGTGGAAAATGTGTCACCGAAATTCGAGACGTATTGAAATAGCGAAAGATGGCTTCCAAAAGCTAAGCAAAGTATTAAGAAACAGGAAAATGTTCGTTAGAAACAAAGATTGATTAAATGCTATGCACTATTAATCCTCATTGAAATATTCACACCGTTTCGGCCGTTGTACGCTCCGACCTTCTTCAGGTGATTGTAAACTTCGAACGGAACCCGTTATTTCTTCCACCAGGGTAGATTGTTCTAGTTCCACGTGCCGTGCCTCTTTCGGATGTCTCAGTTATTTCGCTTTAACTCAACTCTTCAGGTTTTTGGTTTCTACTAAAACAACTTAATTCACATTAATAAATAAAATAATACAAGTGTAGTGAAACAGGAGTACTCATACCTATATAATATGTGCTCTGATTGCGCAACAACAATAAAACGCATATTCATCAAGGAAGAAATCCCAAACCATCGTCACACAATGTAGATTGTAATAGTTAATTAACAATATATCACTTCCTTTTTTCGATGATATTGAACAAAATCCCAACTGGATGTATATTTCAACAAGTCGTTTAAAGATCGCATTCGAGAACATTGGACCGAGTAGATAATTAGCGGGGAAAATTCATTCAGGCTACCGTAATCACAGCACCCACTCATGAGGTATTGTAGATGGTGTTTGTTAATTGATAATATCTCCACACCGTTTTTTCATGAAGGTCGTTTTGAATGTCCAGTCTTCCGATCCAAGCAGGTCTTCCCCGAAGCATTCTCTTCGCTTCTAATCTATTTCAGCCGTTTATTAAAAATCTCTAGGAATATCCTCAGATCATTAAAAATCGTTTACCGTATATGCCGGCGTACAAAGCAGCCCCCTACCAATTAGGAGGCCGTCTTATACTCCAGGTATAAAATGTGAACCTTAAATCTTGTGGTTTATAACTTGTTAGCCCTGGAGATTTTTTTATGGTAGTCTAACCCCTGCCTTGGTAAATATCGACACAAATACCTTCTACTTAAACAACTTAATTCACATTATTATAATTAAATAATACAAGTGTAGTGAAATAGGAGTACTCCTACCTTATATAATATGAGCTCTGATTGCAGAACAACAACAAAACGTATATTCGTCAAAAGAGAAATCAAAAACAATCTTCACACACTGTAAAAAATGCAACTGTCAGCCTTGAGTTTTTGAAATGCTTTCGCCAGATACAGTGTTTAAGCAAAATATATATTTATATTAATAATTCAAAGAATAGACTGGTAATCATTGTTTAGCATACTAACTAATGCTAGTCGGCACGTG